GCGAAGCTAGCTGTGGCGCTGCCGTCTGGTTCTCTTTTCTTGTTACAAGTACGAGACAACCCAGGTGGAGAGTGAGGAACCCCCCGACTCATGAGGGCCTCGAGAAGAGGAGTCAGGAAGGTGGTGGATCGTCGGCTAAGACACCTTCGGCAGCAGGCGCGAGGCGAGCACTGCAAATCGATGGCTCCCCTCTTCCGATGGGAGGGAATTTTTCGTGCCGGCCGATTCAAGGGTCTCCGGTCGTTCGTTGGTGAAGAAACAACACACAATGCCACGAGACATCCAGGGGAGGGGGGGGGGGACATGCATTGTGGCGAAGACGAGGCACGAGGGAACAGGGGGCTATGGAATGTTGGGGGTTTCTATCTTCGCTCTCATGGCATCCCGAAGCGGTCCCGCGTGCCTATTGCCGCCTCGTCAAGCCATCAACATTCCACAAACGCCCCCCGGGCCAGGAGAACCTTCAGATGAAACCGGCCACCATTCCTCCTCCTGGCCACTGACCCTCCCCCAACAGCGAGAGTCGGAAGGCAAAGGCCAAGAGAACAGTGAGCCCACAGCCCTCAGTCCCCTCGTCTTCTCCAGCGAACCCATGCCCAAGCCCGCCTTGTCACCTCGTTCTAGAGCCCGCTCATGACAAGCGCCACCGGGAACCTGCATCCCACATCGTATAGGCCTCACGGGGACAGACAAACACATAAACGCGCACACATGGACGACCAAAGGCCCAAAGGACCAAGAAGGCAAAAAGCCGCCGCCAAAACTCAACGCTCCCCCTTCGGCTCCGAAGCGCCGCCACCGACCCTCTTGGCGAGACATTGCGTCTGCCGTCGACGCCGCGAACGGCTTAGCGATCAGCGCACGTCACCCATCCCTCCCGCTGCGCGAGCTCCATTTAAAATCCGAGACACGTCCAAGCCATCCCGCGTCCGTCTCCGGCGTCGCCCGTTTTCGGCAGCGCTGGGAGGTGGTCAACACGAGAGCAAGAAAGAGCAGGCCCCTCCATCAGCGTGAACTAGCTTCCGTCGTAGTGGCAGGTGTCGAAGCATGACCAATGAGCCTTAACGCAATCGCAGCGCGTCGATCCGCCCTAGCTTGAAAGCTTCTGGATGGTGGAGGGGGCGCTTCGCTTCTTCGCGAAGATGGCTTATTCATGTGGGGTACGAAGCGAGACATAAGCAGCGCGGAGACGGAGGGGGGGGAGGAGGCGAACCGTTGTGCCGAACCTTCTGTTTGCGGAAGACACTGGGAAAGAGAGAGAGATATCGTGAAAGGGCAGGGGATTCAGAACCCCCCGCCCGGTGGTATTAAGGTTTCCTATCTCGTCCGAAGACGTTGAGAAGCTAAAAATGCCCATGTTCGCTCCCTCGGACCATCTCAGCTTGCTTGCATCTGTTTTGCTAGGTTCCTGAAGTCATGTCATGAGTAGGACAAAGAAGAGAATAGCCAAGTTCGGATGATGATCACGCAACCGTACTTGGCTTACGACAGCGTGACTGGCAAAGAAAGGAAGGAAGAAAGGTGGCGAAACCATGTGGAGGAACATGTCATGTTCTCCCGGCTCTTGAAGCCACGGGTTCGAAGCCGCGGGATAGCCAGGTGGAGATAATAATCGTAATTCGTCAGACTCGTGAACTGCGGCAGACTCAGACTTTGCCTGCCAAGTGGAGAATGTTCTCCCGGATGGCATCAGTCAGTTCGCCCTGGCCGGTGTAGACGTAAGCCACCGTGTTGGTCCAGGCTTCCGGATGTGGAAGCGGAAGATCGATCACGTCGCCTTCGCGAACATGGCCAGAGACAATGAGGGCAGCGAGCACGGGAAGGTGTGCGCGAGCATACTCGAGGTCTGGGATGCATTAGCACTTGATGCCTGGAAACAAACAAAGTCGGCGTAACTCACGAACGGGCACTGCTGTGCTGGAGGCACGGAGTGCTCGAGATTCCCGGATGGAAATTGGGAAGTTGCCTTCTGTAGGGGATTGCAGTCCATGCCGAGAGATGGCTGAGGAGCGTCGCCCCAGCCGTGGCGAGTGTTCGCCCGGTGGGCTGGGCTCGACAGCTCTGCTTGGGACGCACGGCGGAAACCTGGCGTAGATTGCGTTCGCAAGGGCTCTGGGATGGTAGATCGCAGCTCAGTCAGGTCAAACTCGCGCTGGATGAGGAATGGCTTCCTATCAATATTGCGAGGGCGAACGCGTGCTCGGACAACCGAGTGACGTCGAGGCTGCTGGCCCGGGTTGGGCGAGTGCTTAGGCGCCTCATCCGTGTTGGAGTGTTCTGAGGCAGTGCTGGCATCTGATATCCGGCGAAGAGCTACCGCATTGACAAAGACGTCGGCGTTCTTTGCGTCGCCATAGTAGACGTGACCCCATGCTCGAAGGCCCTCTAGGGAAACTGGTTGCGTGGCTTTGGATGCTCGGCGTGCGTTGAACGGAACGGATTGTCTGCGGTCACCATCGTCTGAGAGGCCAGCTAGTAACATGGACCGAGTTTCTGCCACAAGGGTCTGCCGACGAGGAAATGTGGCTCCCGGTGAAGCTGGTGTGGGAGGCTGTGGAAAAGTCCGTCGAGCACTGGGCAGTGGTGAAGTCGAGGCCGAGGAGATATCTCTGGGGGCCAGAAGGCCCTCGGTAATGGGAGAGAGAGGCCTCGATACACAAGCAGATCCTGGCGGAGACGGCTCGCCCTTTTGTTTGTCCTGTCTAAGCCGTTGGTCGAACCGATCCACCATGGCCCGCTCATGCTGTCTCATGAGGCCATCGTGCGATCCGGTGGGATAGACAGGGGTTGGCAGAGTCTTGGGCGACCGCGGGGCGGGAGAGTAAATGTGGTTGTGGCGAGGAATCGTGAGCGGAGAGCGAGGTGTGCCATCGAGGCTATAGTGAGGAGTCCATAATGGTGTCAGGGTAGGACGGGGTCGAGTATCCATGGGAGTTGTCGCCATGCTGGGCCGATGATGAAGAATGAATACCGAAAGGTAATATTGTGTGAACGCGAGCGGCGGACGGGTTGAGAAAAGAAGGCAGGAATGGCAGTAGCAGAAGATGATGGTAAATTCCAGGCAGTGGCTTAATAATGATCAGGGGTCAGGGGAGAGGGGGGGGGGTTGTGGAGGAATGTGTGGAATGGTGGCTTGGAACGAGACTGTTCCTTGAGGCGGGAGAGAGGGTTAGATGTAGGGGCGCCAAAATAGGAAAGGAGGAAGCAAGAGGAGGCAAATGGAGAAGAATAGGGCTGCTGGCTGAGAAAAGGGAGAGAGAGGCAGCGGAAGTGAGCTGGGTCGCGCGAGACCAAGTATATCATGTAACGGGATTCTTTCTTCTGGGTTCGTTGACGCAGGCCTTCCCGGCTCGATCGTGGGCCAGTGGCAGTGGTCGCTCCGTGGTACTAGTCAGACTACCCGGGTCCGTCTCAAATCGTCTCGTGTCGTCTTCAGGTAGGGGGGCGGGCAGAGTAGAGGCAAAGAAAGAGGCGGAGAGCGAGAGAGTCAGAGTCTGCGCCAGAGCCAGAGCCAGAGGCAAAGCCAGAAGAAGCCAAAACAAACCAGAGCAGAAACGTTCATGGCCGGGCGGCACCACTACTACGACAAGCTCGACCTTCCGTGTCGGCCGCCGCCACTACGACGACGACAACAACGGCTAAAATGACGAGGGTGACCGGGCACAAGGTGAACAGATCCTTTCTCTGGCACGATCCACCAAAGCACATTGCAGTGCCGGGGCTGGTGGAAATGAAAGGACAGGCCCAGGGGAGGAGGCCCAGGGCGGCGGCTGGTGCGCTGGCAAGCCTGGCGGCGTCAAAGTGTTCAAAGAACAAGTCCGGCAGAAAAAGAAGGTGAGACTTGAGGTGCCTTGGACCAAAGGGCCGAGCCAAGAGAAAGGAGGGCCCCTGCCAGGCGCCGGGGGCCGGCATGCTGCTGTTGTCGTCAACTCTGACGTGACAAAGGAGAGGCGGTTGCGGTTGCGGTCAGACGGCGAGGATGTCTGGAGTTGCTGGCAACGCTGGGCGTCCATTGGCTGCGCTGGCTGCATTGGCTACTTGATGGTGGCAGAGAACAAAGGAATTGATATGAGCAGAAGTGGGAGCAGGCGGGGGCGGCAGCCACCAGGAATGCCTGTCGAGCTGTCGAGAGGGGACGCCAGGGAGAACAAAGAAAAAGAAGGTCGGTCGTGTAGGTAGGCTGGTGAGTCCGTTCCTTCTGACGACTGGTGTCTGACGACTGGTGTCTGACGACTGGTGTCTGTCTGGCGTCTGTCTGGCGTCTGGTGTCTGGCGTCTGGCGTCTGGTGTGTGTCTGCAGGGAGTCCACCCCACCCATTTTCTGCTAGCATATCGAGAAGAAAAGGGCGATTGTCGATGTCGGTCGATCAGGGCCGCGAACGGCCATCCAAATCAACGGCTGGCTGAAGATCGGTTCCGGTCACAAGGCGAGGTGTGTGGGTGCTGCAGTTCCCCCAAGGTGCTCTGAGGTGGAGCAGAAAGAAGCATCGATGATGATGGTAACCGATATGATGATCGCGTACTATTGATGTATAATTCATGCTCGGCAATCATTGCACCGTTGAAGCAAAGGAAATGATGATGCCGATGTCCCTTGCTTTGGTTCTTGTCTTGTTGATGGTAGTGTTTGGGGTGGACTTGACCCATACCATTCGATAGTCTGTCGATTGGCGACGGGCAATTGTGCGATCCGCGTTCCGTGTGGCTGGGGGGCAAGGGCCACATGCCATGGAGCTGTGGCTGAAGAGTGTACAAGTACATGCGAACATGGTAGCCTCGTCCTCTTCGGGCAACCGTCAAGCTCGATTCGACGCATCCCTGTACGTGGTCAAAGGACGTCTCCTCATTGGCTCTGGACGGGTAGCTTTCGACGGAGCTTGCGGCAGGCGCCCGGGGGCAAACCACCCAACGTGTCAATCTACGTATGCATGTCAGTAGCGGGCTACACTACAGCCTTCCCCTCCTGATTTGAGCTTCAACGCTGGGAATCATTCCCCCCTTCGACATAGCCCAGTCTGTCATCTGCCTATCTGACAGCTGGCCTCACCTTCTTTATTGCTTCGGCACCAAATCACAGCCGAGACCTTCGTTCGCAAACGTCACGATCCCTCTCTCTCTGAACGCCATGTTTCGAGCCTCTTAGAACACCACCACCACCACCACCACCACCACCACCACCATCATCATCATCACCAAAACCACTAGAGCAAACTAAGAACGGACCTCCCAGCCCACCGCCAACATGGCTGGCTCCGACGTAAGCTACAAGAAACTCAAAGAAGACTTCGTATCCAATCTTTCAGGTGGTCCTGCCGGCGAGGTCAACTACGTAATTGGTGTTGCGCCCGTATGTTCTTTGTACCCTCTTTCGTGGCGCGCCTCTTGTCTCTTCGCCCCCCCCCCCTCCTCGCCTTCAACTTGCGCCTCTCCATGGACCCCTCATCTCTCCCTGCCCCTGTGCACCTGTGCACCTGCAACGGCATTCGAGCCAAACACTGACACCACGCAGGTCGCCTGTCTTCTCTGGGCCGTCCTCCAGACCCGTCAGTCCTTCTTCAAATCCGACACGCCCCTGACCCTCCTCGTCGACTACCTCCTCAACGTCGGCGTCCTCCTCCTCTCTATAACCCTCTACGCCAACACGCCCTTCCTCCTCTGGGCTCTCCTCCTGGGTCCTGCTCTCCTCGTCTACCTTCTCCCTCGATCGCAGCCGCGCCGAAAACCCCTGGTCCCCTCCCAGAATGCCGTCAAACCCGTCTCCCGCCCCTCGGATGCGGCGTCCGGCCCCCTCTCCGTCCTCTCCGTCAAGCCCTTCCTGACCAACTACCGCGGCGGCATGCTCATCGTCACCTGCCTCGCCATCCTCGCCGTCGACTTCCGGCTCTTCCCCCGCCGCTTCGCCAAGGTCGAGACCTGGGGCACCTCGCTCATGGACATGGGCGTCGGCGCCTTCGTCTTCTCCGCCGGCGTCGTCGCCGCTCGCCCCGTCCTCAAGGAGCGCGCCGCCGGCCGTTCGACGCCGCTGGCCGCTCGGCTGCTGACCTCGATGCGCCACTCGCTGCCCCTCCTCGCGCTCGGCTTCATCCGCCTGCTCAGCGTCAAGGGCCTCGACTACGCCGAGCACGTGTCCGAGTACGGCGTGCACTGAACTTCTTCTTCACCCTCGGCTTCCTGCCGCCCTTTGTCGCCCTCTTCCAGTCGCCCTGCGCGTCGTCCCCAGCCACGCCGCCCTCGCCCTGCTCCTCGCCGTCCTCTACCAGGTCGTCCTCGAGAGCACGCCGCTCAAGGGCCTACATCCTGACGGCGCCGCGCGAC